TCTCTCTCTCTCTCTCTCTCTCTCTCTCTCTCTCTCTCTCTCTCTCTCTCTCACGTGCCAGGTACTAACCTTTGAAGTTGGCGCTGTGCTGCAGGTACCTCAAAGACGGAGCTGGAGCTATGGCGCTGCAGTTAAGTCTCCCTGGCCTCCGCCCAATCTCTCTCTCTCTCTCCAGTACTATCCTAGCTCCTACTAGCGCCCAGCGCTGAAGACTACTGCTGACGCTACTAGCGCCCAGCGCTGAAGACTACTGCCAGCGCTACCACTACTCCTGCAGCGCTCCTCCAGAGTGCTGCTGCTGAATCCTGAAGACTACCTCCTGCCTCCTGAACTGCACGTGAAGTGCCTGGGAAGTACCTAGGAACTACCTGCCAGCCTGCAGGGCGGGCCAGTCCTATATAGTGCTGGCCCGTCCAGGAGGCTGCTCTTGCCAAAGGTGAAACGTGCCAGACCCTGGCGTTGAAGCTCAACCAGGGGTTGTCTTGAAAGCAGGCCCGAAATGGCCTGTGCTAAAACCCTGGTTTGTTGCCTGAGTTTCAGGGTGGGTCGAACTGACGAGGGCCTGAAAATGGCCCTCAGTTTCAGGCTGAAAACACTCAGGGTTGGAAAGGCCCTGATTTAGCCTGAAACGACACAGGGCCTGTAGGCCCTTGTTTTCAGGCTTTCAGGCTGAAACGACACAGGTCCTGTAGGCCCTTGTTTTCAGGCTTTTGGCCTGAAAACATCACGGGCCTGAAAGTGGCCCGTGCAGCCTGTTGCAGGCGCAGCATGTAACACTCTCGCAGCGCTTTGGCTGATTTAGCCAAAGCTGTGCCCGACAGAGCACTACATCGCTTTTTTGAAGCCATGGCATACTTGACCAGGTTGAGGAGACAATCCAGGATCAGAAAGCTCGACCATGATGGCTAGGTCCTTTTTCATCTTTTGTGTTTGGACCTTGGACACTTTTGGCTTCTCTTTGGTCGTCGGTGTTCGGACTTCTGTCTTCCGTCTTTTATCCTTTTGTCTTTTTGTTTGGGTCGATAACTTTTGGAACTACGTTTTCACAGGATTCCGGTTAGATTCACGCTAAAAGTGTTTTTCCGTCTTCCATTCTGTTTTGGCTTCTCGGGCTCAAAGTGCTCCGAGCTCCGTAGCACGAAGTTTTCAGAGTATATTAGAAAAGGCCAGGAGGACGCGATCAGGCGCGGAGGAAAAGTAGATGTTAGAGTTCAAATTTTGGGAAAGTAATTTCTGCCCCTAGTGCCCTTTTGAGGACTGCTACAGGCACTAGACGACTCGAAGGGCGGATAACGGACGTAATTTCTGCACCTAGTGCCCTTTTGAGGACTGATACAGGCACTAGACGACTCGAACGGCGGATAACGGAGAAGGGAAATTTATGCAACGAGCAAACATACTTCCAGCAGTAAGACAGGCGTGACTTTTCGAAGGGAGAAACGTCTTGACCGGCGCAATGCCGGTATACTAAGGTTGATCCTTGGGGAGTTAGGTACTGATGTCTTGTTTCCTCGGCGGTCGGGGGTAGCTGATGGGCATAGCAGATGGACAGAGGGGACGAGAGCGCACACACACACACACACACACGCGCACACACACACACACACACCTGTCTCTTATACACATCTAGATGTGTATAAGAGACAGGAGAGAGAGAGAGAGAGAGTTTTTGTTTGACAACACTCGCACGCCCATCCTTTGCAGATGCCTATCTCTCTCGAGAGTGCAAGGATGACACAGCACGCAAATCAAGAGATGGTCCATTATTGTTGAGAAGGGAGGGCAAAAAAAAAACATGCCAATTCCGCAGTCAGCGTGTCTCCATAGCGGCGTCCAGTCCGGGTGTCAAGTGCAAGTCTGTGGATTGTATTGAGGATCGCTGCTGCGCTTTCATTTAAACCACCCGTACTTGGGCCAGCTATCGGTCGTGGAAAAAAAATAGAGTAGAAACGTTTCTAGTTGGATGAATTTGGGCGTTCCTGTAGTGGCCCGTACATTTCCTAAAATTGTGGCTTGTTAACGGGCACAAATTTAGGAAGTACTGGTGGTTTAATATATAAAAAACATCGACAAGGCCAGCTGCCTCGGGATCTACTGGGACAATAAACTGAGATCATCACCTAGCTTCCGGTTCAAAAGTAGCCCACCCATTGTGACATTGTGGCACACACACAAATATGCATTCTCTGTGATATCTAAAGCCTAGTACATCTTTGAGAATTTTGATGTGTACCACACTGAAGAAAATTGCATTGGTTTGATATCCAGAATTCTTTGAGGTGGGTGTCCTCACGGTCTACCCGGAAAAATACTGAGCTCATTACCCAGCTTTGGTTCAAAAAGTCACCCCACCCACAACTGCCACCACTTGTCTCCATTGTTTGACTTGCTGCAAACTGAGTCCAGCGTCCTGTAAAACCTACATTGAATAATCCATGCAGAAAAATACAGGGACTATTTTACTCAGCTTCTGTTCCAAAATTATCACCGATTCTCTCTGTTGTTAGACTTCAGACCATCCTATGTTTATTGCGCGTACAATGAACTGGTTCAAGGGTATATAATAGATAACACAATAGCCAGGCGTCATGGACTTCACTCTCACAGCATAAAACACACCTGATTGTCGCCGATGACATCACCACGAGCGCTCAGCCCTTCTTTCCTTCTGTCCTTCTGTCTGCTGCTGTTCAAGGGTACCACAAAAAGAAAGGAAATTCAGTTCTGACCTAGGCTACCAGCTGGGCCGCCCGGGTCACCCTGTTTTCCCAGGCGGTCCGGCCGCGCAGGGACCAGGGAAGGTCCCAGAAAAAAACAAAAAAACAAAAAAAAACGAAAAACAAGTACGTTATGCAGAAAAATAAACTGAACAACTTTTGCCCCAGGTCACATCGAAATTCGTTACCAGATTTAAAAGAAAAGATTAAATCATAAAAATTAAAAAAATATATATTATTTTTTTTGGCCCGGCCGGGCAAGTGGTCCCCGGCCACTCTCGTAGCCTAGGTTGAAGGTTCTGACTCCTTAAGGCATGTCCTCCCAGCCTCTTTTCCAAATCTCCATCGTTTTTTGTCATCATGACCTCCCCCCTTTTTCACTGTAGGCAGTGGTTCTTCCCACTATGAGCATACTCATGCTAGCCCTTCTGATATTCCATTACCACACACAGACTGGCCCTCAAATTGGAAATCAGGCAACCAGCTACATAGAGAAAAACCATGAGTTCTTATTTAGCATCATGGGACTGACATCCATCGGACAGCGAACACAGGTCTCATCCTCCTGATGAAGGATCAGCCATGCAAGATGCCTCTGACCTTTTGGCAAGGAGCAGCTCATACTGAAAAATGCGTGGTCTGGACCGACCACTACCTTCTTCCCCTGAATACAACGTACGCCGTACGGTCATTTGTAGCTGTATTTGAGGCATCTTTCAGTCTAAATACAGATATAATGATAGTACGTTGTATTCGGGGGAAGAAGGTAGGGTGACAATCAATCAACCACCAGGATCCCTCTGCGTTTAAAAGGAGAGGGAGTGCCGACTGAGCCAAAGACCACAAATTACACTCTGCCCTAGTCTGACTCGGCAGAAACAGACCGCAAGGACTGGGACACAGCGAAAGATAAATAACAGGGGGAGAAGCGGTTAACAGAGCCATAAATTTTCAGGAGGTTTTTTTCAGGGGGGTCATTATAACAAACGTCCCACGCCTTTTAAGCCAGACACTTGCCCAGTCCATAGAGTGGACACCAAATAAACCAACAGCAAAAAAAAAAAAAAAGWAAACAACACACAGCAAAAGAGAATCAATGGGCGACCGAGATTGTCCGATTGACAGCACAGGGAACCACTCAGGGCCCATTCCTTTGCAAATCGACCACGATTACAAAAACTTACAATCCTTTATCTCCTGGCCCAGATAGCCCGCCAGAACTTCCCTCCTGCAATCACCTCCAACTTCGCCGCAAAGGGACTTTCCCTCTCCGATCGACGACGTCTGAGGAGGATGCTTCTCCACTCCCACTTCCATTCGACCTCGCCCAGTATACATGAGCAACAGGAGGCTCGCAGCTCTGAGGCCCGCTCGGGAGATGAGCATCCGAGCGAATGAGGCATAATGAAGTCGACTATGTAGTGGCTGAACGACACGATTCTCTACGTCAGCGAATCTGCATCATGTCCAGCCTCGGCCCAGGTTAGAAGAGCATAAGGTCTAGCTCAGCGCCACGGGCAGGTTGCCCCCTTCTCTTCGCATCCACTGTCATCCTCTCGCTCAGGATCCAGTCTGCCGACGGCTCCTTAACCTGCGTCCAGCATCTTCTACCGAATGCCTGTGCGCGGTGAACGCCTGAATCCCTGTGCCGGCTGAATGACCATGAGCTCTCCAGGGTCAGCTGTACACAGGGAACCTCTGTCAGGGAATTGCACTTTAATCAGACCGTCGTCACAAATCTCAGCAACTGTCCCAACACTACAATGTCCTTCTCCCCCCCACTCATACCGAGGTGCTCTCACTGACCGCTTCAGCGATACCTGATCATCGAGAACGAATGGAGGGAAATCCAGCAACTCAGCGTTCCACTGGTCCAGGATCGTATAGTTGCTCATGAAGCAGAAGTCTAGTTTGACTTTTCCACCATCCAGCACATCTTTCACAATGGCCAAACTGGACTCGGTTATCTCCTGCAACCCACTGTCACGCCTTCTGGCTCTCAACACTGACGCCCTGATCCGTGCCCAGTCTCCTCTCCTGAATGGTCTTGACATCCGCTCGATCTCCGAGGGATCGGCGACCCAGCCAGTCGTGTAGTCTGGGAAATCAATCTCGACCATTGCTTTGTCCATATCAATGGAGACGACATTGCCAATCATATTGCGCCTGACCTCGCCCCAGCCGAATCGAGGCTGCACAACAGATCCTTTCACTCGGACGGTGTCGCCTTCCTGAAGAGAAGGCACCACTTCCAACTCCTCCACACTGAATACCATTGGCTCATCTGAGAAACAATACTGAACTGACGCAGTACCCTCGGAGTCAACATCCTTCAAAAATCCAATGCTATCGTGCATTAGGGCACTCCTGTCCCTTGAAATCCAACCAAACTTTGGGTTGGAAACACTCTTTTTGACACGCACCCAAGAATTGGGAAGAAACCTGTGATGAAATCACAAAAGCCACGCAAAGTTGCAAACATCTCGATCAGCAGTTTTCGCCTTCAGGGCATGACATTGCCCATGTTATGGAGTGAAATTCTGCAAGGCCCAGAATAGATGGGAGGCACTATGCGTATGTGTGGTTAAAAATAAAATAATAAAAAAAAATAAAAAAAAATGCAAGGGTGCTTGATTTTCAGGGCATCCGTGATACCACTACTAGCAAATTATTCAGGTATTCAGCACAATAAATGTTTCACTCCCATCGAACCAGCATCACGCCTGAAGCCATTTCGTCAAACTTGTCGGTGCCACCCACCCCGGCCTTCCAAGACCGAATGGTTGAGCGGAACCTGAGCCCACCCGGCCACAACAGGAAGCGGCAGACATATGCCCTCAATGCCTTGTGATTTTCCTAATAGTCCTCGTTAGCACCGTGCCACCTATATCCTAGATTCATGATGTTTTCGGAATTGTTTGCCAAAGGAGATGAGATTCATGAGAACTAAAAACAGCCAAAAAAATAAAAATAAAAAAAATCAACCCCACCCCACATCCGATGCAAACCTGACTGCGGTCTCGCAGTTTACTCGCACAGAGGCACCATTGCAATAACCCATGTTGTATGCCTCGCGGAAAACTGAGGGCCTCGCCAGGCCACACCCAGGCCCAGGCTGAAAAGGGAAAAAAGACCCCAGCTTAAAGATTCAGGGCCTGAGCGAGGTACAGTTGACAAAAGTCAACCGTCAGGACCCAACAGTCAAAGTCCAAAGTGGACCCAGCCCAGGCCGCCAGTCAGACGCACACACTTGTTTGCATGCAGGTACCCAGACAGCATCAGGACCAAAGAGAAATCTGCAACTTACAACTGTACACCATCCAGGCCCTCCGCTGTGAGTCAATCTGTACGACTGTGGGGAGGGGACCCGAGGCCAGACAGCCTCGTCAAACACTACAAAGAGACTGGTCTTGAGGTGGTCAACATTCAGTCTTGCTATGCTGCTTGGACGCTGGCTCGACTCCGACTGGACGCTGGCATTGACGCTGGCACGAAGCTGGCGAGACGCTGGCTTGATGCTGGCTGTGCGCAGGCACTGTGGATGACGACGCTGGACTGTGGCGGCATGCTGGCCCTATCTGCTCTGTGCGCCAGGCATTGCTGATGTGGCGCTGCCACCTTCCTACCTTGCTGATGTGGCGCATGTCACTGGTCTACATTGCTGATGTGGCTCCTGCCACTTGTCTACATTGCTGATGTGGCGCTGCCACTGGTCTTCATTGGCGATGTGGCGCATGCCACCTGTCTCCACATCTGACGTGGCATTGGCCATGCTGTATACATGAGGTGACTTGTTGCGACAAGGAGAGAGATCGGGATCTGTGGATGATTGGGTTCGGGTACTCACCTGAGGTTGACGTCGTTATTGTAATCTGCTGTTGTCTTCATAGTCTTCACGAGATAAGAGTGCCACGTGGCACCTCTGTGTGATCAGAACTTATCAGACTTGCTACTATTATTGATTGATGACGTGGAGGGAGAAGAAGCCTGGAGAATGAGTGGGAATGGTTGGGCTTTTATCGTGTGGTCTTTGATTATCTTTTCCACCTTCTCCCTTGTCTGTCCTCCCTCCACTTTCTTCGTCTATTGGTAACCAGATACTGTTTCAGACATCAGTTCACGATAACTGGAGACTTCGGTGCAGATCTGAGACTACTTCTGCTTGACATCTGATGAGTATCTGCCAGGCTGGGTTCATTACACCATTCACCGCCAGGGGTACCGCTAATTCAACACCACATATAACAAAGAGAGGTACACAAAGACCCAGGGGTGCATGAATATGCAACAAACTGCAGATTCCCAGCGGGCTGTATAACGGGTAGATCAGTTTCTAATATTTTCTAATATTTTGAGCTCTACCGGGCTTGATCCCTTGACCTGCCCCTTACTGGGATCCCTCTTTTTTTTTTTTTCCCTTTTTTTATCAAACATTTCTTTTTTCTTTTTTCAATCAAACAGAACCTTGAGTTCCAGCTCCTTTCCCATTCTGGGGAGCATCAGTCCGTGTTACGGACTTTGCCAGGGCTCGATCCCTGGTCTATCTTTGGCTGTTTCGGCTGCATCCCGTTTTCGGCCTGGCACCCTTTTTCCAAACCCCTCCTTTGGTACCGTAGGATTTTTGGCGCCATGCTGCAATTCGGGCGCCACTTTCAAATACTGCATTTTTCAGKTCTGCCCTCGGGGCCTTTCAGAAATGCCCCTGGTASCGTACGTGTCACYSGTACTTATACCGGCTCCCCGTACGGTACGGGGACCAGTCTCGTACCAGTTCTCCGCTGCTGTACTCGTACTCAGTGTGACTTGCTGTTTCGGCATTCGGAATCCAAGACTTCGACTTTGTGCCTCGCCACTGTGTCTGCGTCCGATCCTCAGTCCGAGTCCGTCGTGTCGAGTGAGTGAGTGTGTGTGTGCTCTCCCTCTCTCCCTCTCTCTCCTCTCCCTCGGCTCACCCTCAGCCTCACGCTCGTTACATAGAGACTACTGTGATGACCCAACCAAACATGGACCGAAACACACGGCTGATTTCTGAGTTTTGCTCATAGACGGAATGCCTTGCTGAGTTTCCCGCTTGCTACTAAGTTCTCAAGGTCTGTGTGTGTGCACGCTTGCTGGACTGCATGTCTGTCTGAGTGCTGGTTGGCTTGAGTGTGTGTGGCCCGCAAGGGCACTTGTTGGCGGGGTAAGAGGCCCGCAGCACTTGAAGCAGCGGGGAAACACTGAAGTAGCAGGTAGGCCGGTACTACACCCTGAAGCGGTAGATGTGCCGGGTACTGGAGGCCGAGCAGAAGAAGACAAAAGTGGCATTTTTTAGAGGCCCAGTAGTTGTAGGCTAGGTCTAGGCGGGTACCAGTCTGAGTCTAGGGCCTGTACGGGCAATATCAGAGTCTGCAATGATGTTTCCGTCCGAAAGGGAGGAGGTACCGGTTGCTTGGAAGGCCGAGCGGCCTGAAATCACCGCCCAAGAGGCAAGCAGGCCACTATATCTCCAGGCCGGGCAAAGAGCCCAGCCTCGTTGCCGGTGTGCAAGTTTGGCGACACACTGGTTGGAGCGCTGGCTGGAGCAGCGCTAGCTTGGAGCAGCGCTGCTGGGGAAGAAGCAAGGACTCGGAGGAGGAAGAAGGACAGGAAGGGGGAGGAGCGCCAGAGGTACTTACCTGGCTATGGTGGCAGCCATCTTCATCACCTTGGTGGGCGCTGCAGCAGGAAGGCCCCAGCAGGGGTAGAGCTACACCAAGAAGCTTCGAGGCAGAGTCAGGCATGGCGGCCTGAGCTTGAGCAGCCATAGCTGCTTTGGGTTGTTCTTGGCATCAGAGCAAGGCCCAAGTAGTCCGCCATAGCCCCGACCTTGGACAAGGAAGAAGAAGGGTGGCCATGGCTATGGTGGACCTCATGTGATACCGCAGTAGAAGAGGGATTCGGACATTGATTCTGGTTCAGCCATTCAACATTGTACTATTATTTCTTGTGTGAATAAGAGAGGAGGAGATAAGGAGGAAGAGAGAGTTTGGCAAAGAAGAAGAGCTTCATCATTTGTCTATGCTGGTGTACATCATCT